AGAGGGAGGCCTCGGTCAGGGGCTGGGACAGCATCTACAGCACAGTGATCGCCGTCCTCTGGGGCATCGGGGTTGTGGGGGGACGGCATGCTTAGGCAATGTGGGGACTCAGGCATGTCCTCTTCACCCGCAGCATCCACAACGGAGTAATCGCCGTCTTCCAGCGCAAAGGACTACCTGACCAGGAGCTCTTCAGCCTCAACGAGGGTGTCCGGTGAGTGTCCACCCAGCCCTCGGGCCCAGGTCCCAGAGGGCAGCAAGGGCCAGTCTCCCAGCCACCAGCAGCCATGCCAGGAAGCTGCTGATCACCCGAGATCCAGGTCTGGTAGGACAGTGACCCCAGGACTTGGTTTCCCTCTCACCCTGGACCACACTCTGCTCCTTCCTGTGTCCTTTACAGGAAGCAGGGCCAGGCGGTGACAGTGGCCCCAGACAACACCCATTCCCCACCACGGCAGTTGAGGGTGTGTATTCTGCACAAGAGGAAGGGCCCACCTGCCTCCTAATGGACAGGCCTTCAGAGCCCTGCCAATGCCCTCGTGAGAGGAGGGCACACGTCAGCTGGCCCCTCAGAACTGCCTGCTGTCACAGCTGTCAGTGCTATTAATGTGGTTCACAGGTCTGGTGGTCACTGGTCACACAGGACCAAGAGACCATAACCAGACTGTCTCCCCGTTCCTGACCTGCAGTCCACCGTCAGGAGTCCCATGGTACAGAACCTAGCTGGGGTAGTGAGAACCGTCCAGGGCGGAGCCGGGCCCGTGGGGTGAGGACAAGCCCTGGTTAAAGCAGTGTCCTGCTGGGAGTGTGGTTACGAGTCGGCTCTGACCCACAGTGACCCCTGCGTGCTGAGTAGAACTGCTCCATTCGGTTACAGGACTGGGACTCTCGTAAGCCCATCCCCAGGCCTGTCCTCCCAGGTACTCCTGGCTGGATTCAAACCTACAACCTTCAGGCTGAATACACGGTCATAGGAACCTTTTGAGAGCAGATGAGAGCTGCTTCATGGGACTTCTTGGACTGAAATCTATGGAAGCAGATTGCCAGGCCTTTTCTGCTGGTGACGCCAACCTTTCTGTTCCCAGAGAGTGCTTTAGCCATTGCACCAGCAGGCTGATGGCCGTATGTGAGGTCACAGTCGATGCTGGCTCTTAGGGACCCTGGAGGACAGAAGAAAGCTGGTTCCCAGTGCCTCCAAAGTACTAAACTTTGTGGGAGTGGACTGCCCGCCTTCTCTGTAGATTCAAACTACTGACCTGGTTAGCAGTGGAGGGAGCCCATGCTCACTTTTGTATCTGACCCCCACCCTGCACCAGTGTGGGCTCTTGAACCTTGGAAAGCTCACTGTGTCAAGGTAAAAACGTGGGGACCAAGCAGGAGATAAATCTCGGGTGTCAACCTTGACAGTGGCCCGGTGCCTGGGGGTGGCCTGCAGTAGACACTCAACGTCCCCCAGACCCTCTGCTTTTCCCAGCACTGGCCACCTGACTGTGCCCAAAGTATGTGAGACCAACGGTGTCACGGTCCTAGTGCCTAAGGGTCCAAATGGGGACCTCTGTCCGAATGTGGAGTCCTTTCTGGTTAGCACCCTCTGGCATCTCTGGTCCCCTTGCCTTGTACACATTGGGGAGGGGGTGTCTGTGTGCTCACACGTGTGTCTGACCTCTTGGTTCAGGTTTCATGCTCAAACACGAGCCTCTTTACGAAAACCCTCCTTTCCAAACAGGTTGGACTCTCAGGTGTTGGGCTGAGGGCTGTCGCAGGTGTGGGAGGGGACCATAATCCAAACAAAGGACATAGGTAAACTGTAGGGGACAATGAGTGGGAGTCCTGGGGCCTGGGTGTCGGGGACTGAGAGAGGGTAATCAGAGTGACCCCAGTGGTCCTCAGGTCCTCTGTGAAATGAGTGAAGATGACCTGAGACTGGACAACAGTGCTGGTCCAGCCCCTTCGTGGCCTTGTGACAGACAGGACATGCCCCCGCTACATCTCATTTGTTTTATGAGCTGAACAGATAATGTTCCCAGCCGCCCCCAGCCCGGGTCCTGCCCACTGCCCACAGCCTCTCACTCCCACTCCCTCCTCTCGGCCCCTCCCCCACAGGCAGCTGCTGAAGACAGAGCTGGGGTCATTCTTCACGGAGTACCTGCAGGTGGGTGTCCTGAGCCGGCCGGTGGGGGTGGGGATGGTGACCCAACAGGGACAGGGTGCCAGCTCTCCCATGTATTCCTGGACTCTAGACCACTGTCCACTGTGACTCGGTCCCCACCTCCCCAGTGAGGGTTGTGAAGGGACCTCGAAGCTTCTGTGTAGTCATAGCATTGTGCTCACAGTGGAGATTGTCCGTCTTCCACTCCCAGAAATTCCAGGTCACAGCCCTGAGTCCAAGTCAGGCACTGGGCCCTTCTGCGGGAGCTCTGGTGGGGTGAGGGTGGACCCCACCGGTCACTCTGCACGAGGAAGATGAGGTAGCGTGCTTCCTCAGACCTGCACACACCTTTGGTGGTTCTGCGCCACGTGCCAGGTGGAGTCTCGGTCCACCCTGTGGTGACGGGTTGGTTTATTGGCCCAAATGGTGTCAGCAGCATCTCAGGCACCCTCAGCCATGCAGGGCCATCACGGCCGAGGCTTCCGTCAGGCCACCCAGCCTGCAGTGCAAATTAGCCCACACGGAGAGGGCCAGCCAGAGTCACCCGGACTAGGGGGACAGTGAGCCGCTCCTAAACCAGTGTCTCTGTGGCCCCCACTCCTCGGCCAACCTCAGGGTGTTGGGGGCAGGGTTTCAGGCCCCCACAATGAACCAATATGGAAACCAGGCAAGTCACACCAACTTTGTGTGGTCACTCAGCGCACCGAGAAGTTCTGGTGGTGTTGACTGTAGCCTGTTAAGCATGTTATTGTTGTTTACCGTTGAGTCAGAACCGACACGCAGCTGACCCTCCAGTGGGTTTTGAGAGGCAGTTAATTGCACAGGAAGAGATTGCCCAGCCTTCTCCCACGGAGCAGCTGGTGGATTCGAACCACGTGCCTTTGGGATGGCAGCACAGCTTCTTCCCACTAGACCACCAGAGCTCCCTTGTGAAGTGTATAATAGCTAAAACCCTGCCTCATCCCCCTGGAGTCTGTCTTGAAGGTCATTCTGGAGCCACCTCCTGTCATACAGCGGGTGGGAGAGCTGTGGGCTTCATCCTCAGGTGGGAACCCTTCCCTGGTGGGACCCCACTGTAGACACTGACCAAGCCCCTGGTCACCTTGTAGAACCAGCTGCTGACCAAAGGCATGGTGATCCTCCGAGACAAGATCCACTTCTACGAGGGTGAGTGGTGGCGCGGTTGGGTTTAGGTGACTGCTCTGCCGGGCGTGGGCCCTGGGGGCTCTGGTTGGCAAGCTTGGCTCTCATGCTCAGGACGGCGGGGGGCGAGCAGAAATGAGCCGCTGGGGCAGGGGGGGCCGAGCCTGTGCCCGGGTGTGGACCGTATTAGAGAGTGCGCCTGTCCATGGCTTGTGGGCGCCCAGCGGGGCCATGGTGGTGTGAGGACACCGCTGCCTGGTGCGGTAGAGCCCCACCCAGAGGGCTGGGGGAGATCTGGCGGCATCGCCAAGGTTCTGCGAGGAGCTTACGAGGCTAAGGCTGCCCTCTCTTCAGAAAGGAGGAGGTGGAAGGGCCCAGCAAAGCAAGCCGGCAGTCTGCCTCTATGAGGATTATTGTTAGATGCTGTTGTTGGGGCCAATTCCAACTCGATTGCAATCCTGTCCTTTCCTGTCCCGTCCTCACCGTCCCTGCCATGGCCATTGTTGCTGTCCCGGGGCCAGTGCATCTTCGTCGTTTTCTCTGACCCTCCTTTCTCAACATGAGGTCCTGTTCCAGGTCTCACCCCTCCTGACAACATCCTCAAAATACGGAGGCCCAGTGTCTCCATCCCTGCCTCTCCAGAGCGCTCCGGCTACCCTTCCTCTGAGAGATTTGTTTGGGTTTTCACAGTCCACGGGGTAGTCAGTATTCTCCAACACCTCGATTCAAAAACAGTTCTTCTGTCATCTTTACTCACTTTCCAAGGTCTTTCAGGTTTTTCAATCCCCAGAGACAGGACTGAGGCTGTAGAAAGACATCGTTGGGATGGGTAGGGGAGCAGCTGAGCGAGGTCTGGATCCCAGTGGTCTCGGTGCTGGTCCACGCAGATGCGTTTTCTCCTGAGCTCCCCACATGAGACCTTGGGGACCTGTGAGGTTGGCCCAGTGACCCGCCCGTGGTCACACTGCAAAAAGTCAGGGCCAGAGGCAGGATTTGAACCCAGGTTTGCCTGACTCCTGAGCACACAAGAAGTGTGCTTTTAGAGGTGCATGGGGTCCTAGGAATCTCCCTGTCCAGCTTGAGGCCAGCAGGTCCCAGCACTCGGGGCTTCCCACCTCCACAAATGAGGGGCTGTGTGAGCTTCTAGGACAGGGGAGAGATCATGGGGGAACTTGAGGCAAACCCTCATTGCCCTGTTTGCCCTGTGCTGCAGGCCTACTGTGCACAGGGCCCTGGACTGGGTTCCCGCTCTGCAAACACTTGTGGAGTACATACTGTGCCCTGGTGACCTAGTGGTAAGACGCTGCACTGCAGTCCTAAAGGTGCCAGGTTTGGATCCATCAGCTGCTTCGTGGGAGAAGGACGGACAGTCTCCTTCCCTGCGATTTACTGCCCTGATAACTCACTGGAGGGTCAGCTCTGGTCAGTTCTGACTGAGCGACACACAGTAACAACTGTGGCCAGTCTCCGAGTGTTCCACACTTACTGATTTGTCCCAAAACCCTGTGAAGAAAGCCCCATTGTCAATGCCACCATGCATGTGGGGAAACTGAGGCACTGTGAGGCTAGGTCTTGCCCAGCATCAGAAGCACGGCCAAGCCCTGCTGCCCTCATTGCCTCCTAAGGCCTCCCGCTGGCCTGTGAGCCCATTTCACAGAGGAGTAAACTGAGGCCTGGGAACTGGGAGCTGCTGGTGCACATCAGGTGGGGCCTTTGAGGCCGGAACCTGAGGATCAACCAGATGGGATGTGGCAGGGTTAGGGTGTGGTGTTCTTGGAGGGGGCATCAGGTTTGGCACCCTGTAAAGGGGGCCTCCCACCCGCTCCTGACTCGGCACATTCCAGCGGTGCCCGTGCCTCCACCCTTCCCTCCGCAGGCGCCGGGCACCGTCAGAGAAGGGCTGCTTTGTGTGGCTGTGGAGTGCTGCCACTGCAGCCTGGCCACCTGGGGCCAGCGGTGCCCTGTGCCTCACAGCCCACCCTCCTCCTGCAAAGACAGAGACCCTTCCTC